CTGAGCCACTGTGCCACCCCTACAATTTTATTTTAGTGTTTACAGTATCCAAGTGAACCTTCAAATTCTGGAGTCTGATCAAGTAATCATTAATGATAAATGGGGATAGTTAATATTCTCGACATATTAGATCAGAGTTGGTGCATTCTCTCTCTCGCTCTCTCTCTCTGTGTCCCTCCCTCCCCTCCCCCCTCTCCCTCTGGCTCGTTTTGTCTCCATCTCTGTCTCTATCTCCCCCTTTCTGGGTGTCTCTCCCCCTCTTTCTCTGCATGTATCACTCCTCCCCTTCTATCAGTCCATTTGGTCTGTCTGTCTCAAGCCTACCCACCTCTGGCAGCAGTGATGTGCTCTGAGCTCCTGTGTTCTAGACCTTGTACTGATTTGATTGCAGGTGGCATGCCATGGTTTGATTCTGCAGTTCCTGTCTGGTTTCACCGGTTCTGTTGATTTCATGCATATGGATCCACGGAAAGTCAAGACCTGTCACCCCGGGCAGAAGGTTGGTTTGATGAAACAATTTGTACAACACCTTAATGAAGCAAAACAACAAGAGAATAAATATAAGGAAGTGATGATGAACCATATAAGACCATCAAAACATTTCATGTAACTTGCACCTGGACACCAGAGAGAGGCTGACAAAGTTTTTGAGAAGACTTGTAGCTCGGGTTGTGGATGAGGTTGTAGACTTGCTCGCTGAACCAGTGGGTTTGATTGCAGAAGTTTTGTCACCCTGCTAGTTAACATCGTCAGTGCGCCTCCAGTGAAGCGTTGGTGTTCTGTCCCGCTTGTTATTTATATGCCTTGGTTTGCTGGGGTGGTTGGCATCACTATCAGTTCTGTTTTTAGTGGTTTGTATATCGGGTCCAGTTCACGTGTTGTCTGTTGATGGAGTTTTGGTTGGAATGCCAGGAGTTCCCTGGCATGTCTCTGTTTGGCTTGCGCTATTATGGATGTGTTGTTCCAGTCGAATTTGTGTCCTTCGTTATCCGTGTGTATTGAGACCAGTGAGAATCGGTAATGTCTCTTAATGGCTAATTGGTGCTCGTGTATCCTTATTGCCAGTTTTCTTTCAGTTTGGCCGATGTAATGTTTCTCACAGTCCTTGCTATTTTATATATTACATTAGTTTTATTGGTGTGGGTTTAGGGTCCTTTACATTCGTCAGTAGCTGTTGCAGGGTGGATGTTGGTTTGTGGCCTACCCTGATACCTAGGGGTCTGAGTAGTCTTGTGGTCATCTCTGATATATATCTGATGTACGGTAGGGTGTCTGGCTATGTTGTGTCTTCCTGTTGTGGTTTGTCGTGGAGGTAACGGCAGATTGTGCTTTTTGGGTATCCGTTCCTTTTTAAAAATTCTGTATAAGAACTCTGTTCTGCTTTGTGCAATTCCGGGTTGCTACAGTCTGTTGTGGCTCGTTTGATGTCCTGATGCAGCTCTGTTTATGGGAGTTGAGGTGGTTTCTGGTGTAATTAGGTATCTGGTCCATATGTGCGGTCTTTCTGTATACAATGGTCTGGGCATCCCCATTGTTGCTACGTTCTACCGTTATGTCAAGGAAAGGTAGTTGATTATTTCTTTTGCAAATTTTATTCCAGTGAGAATATTGTTTATATGTCGATGGGTTTCTTCTAGTGTTGTGCATTTGATAATCACAAAGGTGTCATCTACGTGGCAGACCCAGGATTTGGGTTGTATAGTGGGGAGCACTGGCCGTTCTAACCTCTGCATTACTGCTTCTGCAATCTGTCCTGATATTGGGGATCCCATTGGTGTTCCGTTGATTTGTTTGAATATCCGAACGTTGAAGGTGAAGTGGGCTGTGAGGCACAAATCCAGCAGTTTCAGGGTGCTGTCTTTGTTGATGCTGTTGGTGTCGTGGGGTGCCTGGCTTCCTAATTTGTCCAGCAGTGTGGCAATTGTCTTTTTGGCTGGGTCGATGTTTATGGATGTAAATAGTGCTGTTACGTCGAAGGATATCATTATCTCCTCCTCTTCTATTCTGGTGTCCTTGATGATGTTGAGGAATTCTTGGGAGTGGATGGAGTGCATAGTGTTGTCAACTAAGTATTTCAGTTTCCATTGTAGTTCTTTGGCTGGTCTATATGTTGGCGTGCCCGGTAGTGAGACAATGGGTCTGAGGGGGACCCTTGGTTAATTTTAGTGGAGCAACTGCTCTGTTGATTCTATCCCATTCAACTTGGCACCGCCTTTAGTTCTCCTCGCCGCTGGCAACTTCATAATCTCTGGGAGATGTGAGAAACCAGATTGAACAAAAGAATTAGGCTGATTCAGGGAATATCAATTTCTGGCACCAAGGACGATGCAGGGCAGTCCAGAAAAATGCTGGTGATCATGCAGCAGTCTCTTGATAGAGACCTCTGCCAAAAGTTCATTCCTAACCCAGATTCGTAGGTCACAGAATTCAGGAGAAAGAATCATAGTTGCAGAAAGCTACAGCCAGACATTATCACATGATGTGCATGTTTTGAAGGGTCTAGTGTTGCTGACCAAGGACCAGGGCCGCAGCAATGGTTTCACTTTTTAAAAAAAAAAAAAAAAAACCTTCACTTTTACACTTGCGTCAGCTGCATGGTGTCCAGAGTGGGCTCTGCACCGCAAGTTGCCCTTGCAAGTGTAGAATTTTACGCAGGGATCGCTGTCACAGGGACATTGACGGCCCACAGTCCCTAATCAAGTTGTCTGTCTTCATTAGATGCAAGGACTGCTCTTGCTGGGGGAGAGAGCGCCACCGCCCTCCCCGATTGAATTGTTCCTGCTCCTTACAGACAGATCTTGCAGGATGATACTCACTCCCTACTCCCCCTGTCCTTCTTCCAAACAGCCCAAATGTGAGAGAGTGTTTTGCATTTGATTCCGTTTGAGATTGGCTGAATTTTCTTTGTTTCACGCTGGTGGTGGTGTTAAGAGAATAAATCACGGGATTGTGTTTCTGTTCCAGGTGAAAGCTTGTATTTTATATGTGCAGCCGGAAACGAAGGCTGTGCACCTGACACTGCGGCCTGCCTTCCTGCAGCCAGGGGCAGTGTTACAGCAGCCAAGCCCACATGGGATCGGGAAGGTTCTTGAGCACTGCACTGTGCGGTGCTACCACAAAGAAGCTGGTGTCATCTTTCAGCTGGCTGATGGGACCTTTGCCTATTCACGTGTGAGTGACTCCAATCCAGTTGTGTCTGTGGATTGAGTGTGAACACTAATAATATTTCAATCTGTTAAGAGAGTCTTGCATTTGTATAGCTCCCTTCACATCCTCTGGGTTTTGCAGCAAGTTAAGCACTTTTGAAGTACAACCATAATGTAACAACATGAAGCAGTTAGGGATGGGCAATAAATGCTGGTCTAGCCAGCAATGCCCACGACCCATTAATAAATTTCTTAAAAGGCAGCCAATTTGAGCACAGCAAAATTGCACGAATAGGATTGAATACTTTTTTTAAAAACATCATCCCTGGATGTTTTGAAATAACAATGGTCAGGGATGAATATTGGGTAGCTCACTGAGTCAAGCGTCTGATCTTTAAAATGTTGCCACGTGAGGGTTGACAGACTCTTGGTTGGAAGTCACCTTCAGAAGAGAGTCCTGCTGGCAGTGCATCATCTTCTCACCAATCTTCTGCCAAAGACGGGATGCTGCCTTGCTGCGCTCCTGCAGTGGGGTGCTGTGATGCCACTACATTGAAGTATCAGTCTCTGACCTCCCTCGTAAATCTCTGAACTGCTAGACAATGAGAGATCTGATTGTGAGGACTGAGAAACTCCTGAGATGTGCTGCCCTTTCCCACACTTCCCCTGAACTCATTTACACTCTGCAGCCCAGAAAATGGTTGCTACCTTTGTGGTTGCGGCCTCGTGCTCTGCTGGAAGATGGTTTTGCCATGCTTCTTGGTGAGAATGCATTGAACAGAAACATCAATTCTTCTGTTTCTCTCTCCACAGATCCTGCCTGACCTGCTGAGTATTTCCAGCATTTGTTTTCTTCGCAAATTGCACTTTTTATCATTAAAGTCTTCTACTGTTCACTAGGTGTTGCAGATTAAGCATTGACAGCAGCTGAAGTAAAGCTGGTTTCGTTGCTTACTATCTGGTTTAGTTTGTGATGGTAATCTGTCTTGTGTAAGAGTGCTGTCTCATTAATGTGTCCTCTTCAATTGCAGGCATGTACTGTTCACACACTTGTATTGTTGTAATGTAACTGCACTGCCTTCCACAAGATCACTGATTGCTAATTTCTAACACTGCAGAAAGTTCATCTATCTGGCACTAAGACGCCTCTTAACCCCAATGACTTCCGTGAAGGTACCAAGCACAGGTGCAGGGTCATTGACCACAGCCCAATGGAACAGATGGTTTTGGTGTCTCTGAAAAAGTGAGTGTGATCGGTCATCAATACTGAGACGTTGTGTTCAATAGAGGGTAACAGGTGGCACAGACCATGATCCAGCAATACCTAAACACATTTACTGGGCAACAATGATTAGGAAAGGGAGCACATGTATAGCACTAGGTTAGATACAGAATAAAGCTCCTCTGCACTGCCCCTATCAAACATTGCCAGCACAGGTACAGCATAGGGTTGCGTACAAACAAGCTGTTTTGTTTCCACTTTCAATAGTTTTGTTCCAGTCATGTTCATTTCCATCTTGTTCTTAATTAAAACAAGATGGCTTTTGTACTTTGTGGTGTAGCCCAAATTAAAGGGACAGAAATAGCACAAACCAAATTCCATTGTCAATAGCAGAGACTGAAAGGATAATGTCTGACTCCTGTGGTACACACAACCCTTCCTTGATTTTGAATTTCTCATTTTTAGGAGTGTTCTCGATGCCCCATTCTTGAAGTACCAAGACATCAAACCAGGACAACTGGTCGAGGTGAGTCTTTACAGCTGGAGCTTTATAAACAGAATGATCTTTGCAAAATATACATTCCCTAAACAGCCTCCAGCAAGACTGAGAGAACGAGTGAGTGGCTTCTGCCAAAATGTCCTGCTGTCCTGCCTCAGGGCTATCTCCAGCTGTTGCTCAACTAATGACTTCTCCAATTATTCCTTCGGTCTTTTCTAATTGGGTATTTGTTAGAGTTCCTCCAAATTCCCCACCGGCTTTGGTCATGATTTCAGTTTTGCCAGGAGAACCTTGTGGAATCAAATTGAGAATGTCAAAAATAATCTGCTTGCTCTTCTTCAGCTCCGAGTGTTTTCATTTCCTCTGCTGTCTTCTTTGAATCCTTCAGTTAAACCCAGCCTGGCTACTACAAACTCAAACCCTTGTACCTTTTACCAGCATCCTTTAATATTGGGCTACCACCTAACTCGTTGTAGCTTGATTCTAGTCACCCCGATTCAAGTGTCTCCATCTCTGTTTCTGATCTGGACAAATTGCGAAAACTCTATCAGCGTGACTGACAAATCCTGTGAAGATTCCTGCATACTGTTCATTCCTACCACTCCACCGCATCTGCCTCATCTCTAAATCTGAACTTTGCCAGCCTGTCTAAGTGAACAAGTCTTTGATTATACAGCAACCTCTGAGAAATGTTATTCATCAATCCCTTGGTCCTTACCTACTTAACCTTCATATTCTGTAGTGTCTGTTCTGTGTATTCTGATACCTCCTTACCCACTGACTCTTAGTATTTAGTGGCCTTTCAATAAAGCCCATCTTGTGGATATTTGTCAGCATTCACTGCCTTGTGTATAGATAACAAAGGGCTGGGTGGAATCTAACTGCGGTCTTTTCCAACAGATTTGTCAATAGTCTACATTCTTCATTTTGCTGCATTTCAGGGTAAAATCACCTCTCTGGAGAATTATGGGATGAATGTGAAGCTAACGCACCACATTCGGGGACTGGTGCCTCGGGCACATCTGTCAGACATTCCCCTGAAGCATCCAGAAAAGCTGTACAGTGTAGGAAATCTGGTGAAGTGCAGGGTGAGTGTGCAACATGTTCTCCGTGCAGTACAGGCGGAGTGTGCAGTGTGTTCATCATCCAGGAAAGGAGCCTGGTCGCCACCAATCCAGTACAGCCTAGTTGTGATCCACTCTTGCACTGAGTATGCAATCCTTTAGGAACAGCAGTGTCACCACTCCTCAAAGACAAATCATTATATTTCCAAATGACTGAGCTGAAGTATTCCTCTAGGATTAACCATTTGTTTCTTTCTCAGGTACTGATGGTAAACAGTGACACCAAGAAACTTACCCTGACTCTGAAAAAGACGCTGGTTGGTTCAAAGCTTTCTGTTATTACCCAGTATAAGGAAGCTGTTCCCAAGCGACTGGCCCATGGTTACGTTGTCTCTGTGAAGCCCTTTGGCTGCATCGTCCGCTTCTATGGTGACGTGCGAGGGCTGGTCCCACAGCAGGAGCTGAGCACCCATCCCATCCTCTTTCCTGAGAAGGTCTTCTATGTTGGTCAGGTGAGAGTGTGGTCAGCGGGGGAGACCGGGCAGGCTCAGCGGGAGAGCGCGGTCAGCAGGGGAGACCGGGCGTGCTCGGAGGAAGAGCGCGGTCAGCGGAGGAGACCGAGATGGTTAAGAGTGGGACAGTTTCAGGGGCGAGTGTTATGGATGTTCAGGCAGATGGGACCATATTAGGGTTGGCATATGGGGGGGCCTTTCTGACTGGGAATGGTCAGGTGGGAGGCTGGGTGGATTCAGATGGTAATGGGCGACAAGAAGGGGTAGTGTCATGTTGGGGCTACTGCCTGTGTGTTGGGGAGGCAGAATGAAATAGGTAGAGCAGCTGTTCCTGTGATGCGTTGGATGCTGTCCCGCTTTTTTTTTTTGACCTCATGCTTGCCTTCGGACTTGACCCCTTCCCAGGTTGTCAAGGTTGCTGTCCTAAAGTGTGACCCAACTCAGGAGAAGCTGCTGTTGTCCCTGAAAGCCACACAGAACGTGGGAACCGAAGCTGATGGTTTCACTAAGGAAATTGAAGAATCTTCAATGTACCCAACTGGCAAGGTATTTGCGGTTATCTACAACAGGTTTGATAAATAATGAGGAAGAAAATGTAGACTGCAGGAAAATGTCAATAGACAGGTCAGATAAACAATAAAGTTCACTTCGCTTTAAGGTGAGCTTTGACGGATGTAACTGAAATACCATCTCTGCTTGGGAGCTTAGAATACCGGTTGCAGGCTAATGGGGTTACAGCTTATATTTACCAAAATGATCCCAGTACTAAAAGTATTAATTTGAAAACCAGGTTTGTATTTTTGTATTCGAAAGACTCGGGAGTCATCCAGTTGAGCTGTTTAAGGTGATAATTAGTTTTTCCCAGTTATTGAGGCCAGTTAAACACTTTATCTATATAAGTTTTAAATAAAAAGATTTATCAGCCAAAGTTCCTAACCAACGCAATTATGGGTTTTTCAAAACTCTGTCTCTAAATGTCAAAGCTCAGAATTTTTTCTTGAATAAGGAGATTAAAAGTTACAGAATTAAATGAGGTTAAAGTACAGATCAGCTGTCATCTAATTGCAATATTGAGCAGCCTTAGGGCATGGGGAAGGGAGTTGTTTATGTGTGTGATGAATGGCCTCCTCTTGTCCCAGGTATCCTACTTTTGAATGCATCTTCTTGCTTCTCTTGCTGCTGATGTGCTTTCACTAGATTTGAGTAAGACGTTGGAAAGCATTCCTCACGGTAGACTGGTTAGCAAATTTAGATCACGTGGCATACAGGGAGAACTAGCCATTTGGATACAGAACTGGATCGAAGACAGTGGGTGGTTGTGGAGGTTTGCTTTTCAGACTGGAGGCCTGCGACCAACTATGTGCCACAAGGATCAGTGCTGAGTCTACGCTTTTCGTCGTTTATTTCAATGATTTGGACATGAACATAGGAGGTATGGTTAGTAAGCTTACCAATCACTCCAAAATTGGAGGTGTAATGGACAGCAAAGAAGGTTACCTCCAGAGTACAACAGGATCTTGTTCAGATGGGCCAATTGGCCAAGGATTGGCAGATGGAGTTTAACTTCGATAAATGTGAAGTGCTGCATTTTGGAAAGGCAAATCATGGCAGGACTTATATGCCGAACGGTAAGGTCCTGGGGAGTGCAGGTTCGTAGTTCCTTGAAAGTGGAGTCACAGGCGGATCGGATAGTGAAGAAGGCATTTGGTATGCTCGCCTTTATTGGTCAGTGCATTGAGTATAGGAGTTGGGAGGTCATGTTACGGCTGTACAGGACATTAGTTAGGCCTCTTTTGGAATACTGCATTCAATTCTGGTCTCCCTGCTATAGGAAAGATGTTGCGAGACTGGGAAAGGTTAAGAAAATATTTGCAGGGATGTTAGAGGGTTTGAGCTTTAGGGAGAGACTGAATAGGCTGGGGCTATTTTCCCTGGAGTGTTGGAGGCTGAGGGGTGACCATATAGAGGTTTATAAAATCATAAGGGGCATGGATAGAGTGAATTGCCAAGCTCTTTTCCCCTGGGGTGGGGAAGTCCAAAACTAGAGGGTATAGGTTTAAGGTGAGAGGAGAAAGATTTAAAAGTGACTTAAGGGGCAACTTTTTCACACACACGGTGGTGTGTGTATGAAACAAGCTACCAGAAGAAGTGGTGAAGGCTGGAACAATAACAACATTCAAAAGGCATCTGGATAGGTATATGAATAGTAAGGGATTTGAGGGATATGGGCTAAACACTGGCAAATGGGACTAGATTAATTTAGGATATCTGCTCAGCATGGATGAGTTGGACTGAAGGGTCTGTTTCCATGCTGTACAACTCTGACTGTGACTCTAAATGTGTTTCAGATTGTGGATGTGGAAGTCTTGGCGAAGGTAGAGAATGGGCTAAAGGTCTCCATTCTGCCACAGCATGTACCTGCCTTTCTCCCAACGATGCACCTCTCAGACCATGTCTCAAATTGTCGGCTTCTTGCTGCGAGGCTGCAGAAGGGTGACGTCCTCTCCAATGTCATGTGTTTAAGCCAAACAAACGGCCAAATTGTATCCTTTATTCTGACTAAACTTTAGCCTAACAGTCTTCATTATTACGAAGTACATTTTCAACAGAAAGAGTTTAATAATATATGATGGAGACCAATGTACAGTCACGAGTGATAGAAAATGCAATGAGTGAGTCGATTAATATTATTAAGAATTTATTGGGAGTGTTACAGGTCCCTGAAGGACTCCTCAGCAGCAGAGTGGTGACCTGCTCTCGAATTTTCCATTTTAAATATGGGCTGAGAATGTTTCTCTGCTTTAGTTTCAATCTTTCTTATAGTATTTTGTGAGATTTTTAAAGTCACAATTAAGCTCAGCATTATCTAATTGCTGATAGTACAGAACTTCAACTTTGTGTCTCTTTCTAGTTATTGTCAATAAATGAGTTGGAATAGTTAGAGCGATACAGGAATCTGCAGGGGAATGGGACAAGGTGAGTCACTTTTGCAGAGACCCAGTACAGACGTGCTGAATAGCCATCTGTGTTATGTGACCATTGTTTGATTTTATGAATTCTCGAGCTCGTTTGGAAGTAGCTGCTACGTGACAACATTGCTGCATGACTGAGGATTGCATCAGCTCAACTACCAGGCATGCTTTCTTGTGAATTATGTTACTCAGTAACCATGTTAGTTTCCTGTATATTCACAGCGTTCCCTGCCCTTAACCCTGCTGCTCAGATTCTTTCTAGAAAAGCTGCAGTGATAGCTTTTGCTGAACAAGGGCCAATGCCAAAGGATGTGTTGGAACTCCAGGTGAGTTGTAACTCACTTCTCTAAACAGGTGCCATTCTGACATGCTTCCTTGGATGCAGTCTAAAGAGTTCGAATTTGGTGGTGGTACTTCATCAGGATGAACAAACTCCACTAATATTGCGCTGATTCGTCATGTGCTTACTGACAAAATCCTACGTTGCAGATAAGACTAGGAGCTGTGTGGCCCCTCGTGTCTGCTCTGCCATTCAGTGCGAGCATGGCTGAACTTTGACTTCTAATTTTCTGACTCATCCCCATATCCCTTTATTCCCTTAGTGTACAAAACTCTCCTCTTCTTCCGTTTTGACTATTCTCAATGACCAGTTCGCTGGGATAGGGGAATCCAAAGATTTGCTGCACTATAATCTGAATGAGGAAGTTCTCCTAATCTTCGTGCTGAATGGCTGACTCCTCCTGCTGAAACTATAATATCCGGTTCGAGACTCTCCAGCCAAACAAAGCAACTTCTCAGCACCTACCCTGTCAAACCCTTCAAGAATTTTGCAAAGATAAAATACAGGAAATCTGAAATGGAAACAGCAAATGCTGGAAATGCCCAAAGTTAGACAGCATCAGTGGGGAAATATAGAGTTAGCGTTTCAAGCCTGTGACATTTCATCAGAACTGGAGTGAGTTAAAACTGTAAACTCAAAAGAATGCATCTAGAGGTAGTGTGACTGACAGGATACTGAACAGCATCCATTTGAAAATGAAAAAAGATAATTGAGCAACCAGATTTACAAAGAAAAACTAAGTTAAATGAATGCAAGTTCTTAAATTGTTGAACTCATTGTCAAGCCCAGGTGCCTGAAATTACATTATTAAAACTTGATGCTCTCAAGCTTGTTTTAAGCCACAGCAGACTGAGGTCAGAGAGATGCAAGGTGAAGAAATAAAACAACAAATGACAAGAGGCTCAGTCATACTCGCAGACTGAATGGAAATATTTTACATGGTGGGTCTGGTCTGCATTTGGTCTCCTCAATGCAGAGGAGATTGCATTGTTAATAGCGAGTACTAAATTAAGAGACATGGAACTTGCTGTTTCACTTGGAATTCATGCTTGGGGCCCTGGACAGTGAAAAGAAAGGAGATAAAAGGCAGGAATTGCATTACCTGTGCTGGCATGGACAGACCCTATTGGGGGAAAAAAAGGGAGTGTTTGGGGAGGCTGAGGAGAGGTCTGGAGTGTCAGAAAAGGAATGGTCCCTTCAAAATCCTGAAAGAAGAGATCGAGAGGATAGATGTGCTGGAAGCATCATACAGGATCTAGTGAAAATAGCAGGCTATGGTAGGTTCAATGCAGAGGCTGTGGTGGGATGGAATGTGAAAGCAAGCAGAACCTGTTTGTGGTTCTGGGTGGGAGGAAAAGGCATGAGGGTAGAAGGATGGGAAATGGATTGACAGGGTTGAGCCTCATCAGTCTCATGAGGGAAGCAAAGATGATATCGGAAACTGGTGGAATGTTGCACCTTCCGAACCAACGTGACGGAGTTAGAGAACCTGGGTAATTGGAGGAGAAAAGAAGTTTATCTGACTAGGTGAGATCCTTCTAAAATGTAAATATTTTAGGCTCATTCTACTTGATCTTTCCTCATAGGATTGGTCCCCTTATCCCCAGAATCTAGTGAGACTTAGTTGCATTGTCTCTAAAGTAAGTATCATCATCCTTGGGGAAGGAGCTCAGGTTTTTGGAAACCACAGTGCCTTACCTGCCTTTCTGTTTTCATTAGGTGGGTACACAAATGCCGGGTTTTGTGAAGAACATTATGGCGTATGGAGTGTTTGTCAAATTCCCACATGGACTGGTCGGCCTGGCTCCCAAAGCTGTGAGTCCAATATCCAGTTTACACCTATTGACTTATTCTGACCAACGCAGTAGCAGATTTGCTAAGTCTTATTAAACAGTTCACATGGTCCTGCAACTGACAACGATGGTGTAGTGCTCATATTATTGTAGCCCTTGTATCTATTGAATGGGAGATAGTGAATTTTGAATTCTCTTTATTGAAACATTGGATCCTGGAAGTAAAAAGCTGGTCTCTGGGAAGGTGGCCAGGGAGTAATTGTCGCAAAAACTCCACCTGGTTAACTCACGTCCTTCAGGGAAGGAAATCTCCCTGACCCAGTCTGGCCTGGAGGTAACTCCAGTCCTACAGCAATGTGGTTGATTCTCAACATTCCTCTGAAATGGCTTAGTAAACACCCTTGGTTGCATCAAACTAAGGGCAGCTTAGGGTGGGCAATAAATTATAGACTTGGTAGTGGTGCTCATATCTAAACTATCAAAACAGGAATGAATTACAGACCGGATTCTAATCAAGGGGTTCAGTGGAGTTTGTATACGGAATAATAGGTAAGCCAGAGTGATTTACAGGTGCATTAATTTTGCTGGTTAATGTTTTTTTCCCCTCCAGGCTATGTCTGATAAGTTTGTCACAAACACAGAGGATCATTTTGTGGTGGGCCAGACAGTGGTTGCCAAGGTTACAAACCTGGATGAGGAAAAGAAGCGAGTATTACTGACTCTGAAAGTGTCTGAATGTGGATCTGCAGAGGGTGCTGGTGAAAGCCTTGCGCTCCTGAGTCAGTACTGTGCTGAACTGGAATTTGTCAGGACCTTGATGAGCAGCAGAGGTAATGTCTGAATCTAATGTTCAGCGTCTTGGGTCTGAAATCCAGAAAATGCACCGCCTTCAGACAGGAAATAATTTTGAATTGATCATGATCATAAGTTTGAGAGGAGACCATTCAGCCCCTTGAGTCTTTTTCACAAGTCATTTAGTTTATATCTGATCTCTGTCTTAATTCTGTTGCCCACTCTGTTCCATAACCCTTGAATATTCTTATCCAGTCACTGTTTTGATATTTTCAATTAAGATCCAGTCTCAGCAGCTTTCTGGGGCAGATGTTTTCAGATTTCCACACCCACAAGATGAGACTCCTGCTTGGAGCTATTGGTTTTGAATCCTGTTCTTTCTGCGCCTTACTCATGAGTATACATTGTCAGAGGTGCAATTTTCCAGTCCCCTAATGCAGCTTGATGTTAAGAACATAAGAAATAAGTAGGCCATCCCACCTGTCTGTCATTCAACAAGATCAAGGCTGATCTGTCCCAGACTTCTCAATTCCCCTAATGTTCTTGAGTAGATTTGTAGATCGGGTTGTGGATGCTGTGGTTGGTTTGCTCACTAAGCTGGTTCATTAGTTTGCAAACCTTTCATTACCCTACTGGGTAACATCATCAGTGCAGCCTCCAATGAATTGTTGTTGTATTTTCCCCCTTGCTATTTAAAATCTGGGGTCCATTGGAGTTGATTACCTCATTTCTGGTTTTTCTTTGCAATGGTGTGCATATAGGGCCTAATTCTGTGTTTATTGAGGGCCTTCTTGGTGGAGAACCAGGCCTCTAGAAATTCCCATGCTTATCTCTGTTTGGATTGTCCTAGGATCCTGACATTGTCCCAATCAAACTGGTGGTTCTCCTTGTCTGTGTGCATGGAGACGAGTGAGTATTGGTCATGTCTTTTTGTCGCTAGTTGATGTTCATGTATTCTTGTGGCCAATTTTCTTCCTGTTATCCAATGTAATGTTTGTCGCAGTTCTTGCATGGAATCTTGTATGTTACTTTGGTTCTGTCAGTAGCGGGTAAGGGGTCTTTGGTTCTTGTTAGCAGTTGGAGTAGGGTTGATGTAGGTTTGTGTGCCCCTCTGATGCCCAGTGGCAGGCCCAACAGGGAATTTCTGACGAAGGTACCCTTCAGACCCATAGTCTGTCTCCCAGGCAGACCAACACAGGTGAGCCAAGGAATTATAAAAAAGACTAAAGCACCTCATCAACAACTCAATACACTCAGCCCAGAAGTTCCTCAAAACGTGCAAAAACATAAGAACTGACAAGGACAAGATCATGGTATCGTTTGACGTTACTGCCGTATTCACATCGATCAACATACCCCTAGCAAGAGAAACACTAGCCTCACTTCTGAAGGAACTGGACCTGAGTAACACCATCTCCACAGAGAACATGCTGAAATTACTGGACCTATGCCTCACGACCCACTTTACCTTTAATGGCCAGATCTATGAACAAATCAACGGGACACCTATGGGGTCACCTATCTCTGGACTCCTAGCAGAAGCAGTGATGCAGAGACTTGAAAGCATGGCCCTTATGCAGATCCAACGCAAACTACGGATCCAATATGTGGACGACACTTCCTTCATCATCAAACAAACTAATCTAGAAGAAACACACCAACTTATAAACAACATTTTTCACTGGCATCAAATTTCCCAGAGAAGAAGAAAAGGACAAACAGCTCCCATTCCTGGATCCGATGGTAGAACGCAGGGCCAATGGGGAATTCCTGACCAAAGTATACAAAAAGGCCACTTGCATGGATCCAGTCCTAAATTTCAACAGAAACCACCCTAACACCCACAAATGGAGTTGTGTGAAAACACTGTTCAAACGAGCCACAACACATTGCAGCAACCCAGAACTATGCCAAAATGAAGAAGAATACCTTCACCAAGTACTTAGACACAATGGATACCCGAACAGCTGGCTCTGAGGATGTCTGTCACACAAATAACAACAAGAAGATACAGCACACCCCGACACGCTTGTCACGTTACCATACATCAAGAACATATCTGAACTGACCACAAGACTCCTACAGCCACTGGGCATCAGAGTGGCACAAACCTACATCAACCCTACGCCAACTGCTAACAAGGACCAAAGACTCCTTACCCACTATGGACAGAACCAACGTAATATACAAGATTCCATGCAAGGACTGCGACAAACATTACATTGGACAGGCAGGAGGAAAACTGGCTATGAGAAATCATGAACACCAACTAGCAACAAAAAGACATGACCAATACTCACTCGTCTCCATGCACACAGACAAGGAGAACCACCAGTTCGATTGGGACAATGTCCGGAACCTAGGACAAGCCAAACAGAGACAAGCACAGGAATTTCTAGAGGCCTGGTTGTCCACCAAGAAGGCCAGCAATAAACGCATAGAATTAGACTGTATATGCACACCACTGCAAAACAAAACAGAAATGAGGTAATCAACTTCAATTGACCCCCAGAGTTTAAATGGCAAGTGGGAAAATACAACAATGCTTCATTGGAGGCTGCACTGATAATGTTATCCAGCAGGGTAATGAAACGTCTGCAAACTAATGAACGAGTTCGGCGAGCAAACCAACCACAGCATTCTCAACTCTCCTTTCCTGCCAGCTTCTCAAAGCCTTCAGCTCCCTGATATTTCAGAAACATATTTACCTTCTCTTTAAATACTTCCAGTGATCTAGCCTTCACAACTCTCTGGGGTAAAAAATTCCAGACATTGACTACCTTCTGGGAGGCAACATTCCTTTGTATCTCAGTTTTACAAGATTTTATACGTAGAACAACGGGTATCTGGGAGTGAGTTTTAAACTGAAAGCCAATCAAACGGTACTTGCAGTGCTGGTGTGGGGGTTGATATTTGATTCTTAATGAATGTTTACTGTTTCAGATTCTCCAGTTGTTACCAGTCTGAGTTGCCTGGCCATAGGGCAGAGACTCCAGCTCGTAGTGGATAGAGTGGAGGATGATGGCACAGTATACTTCACTGGTACACAGGTTACCAAGCTGACTGTTACAGCCAGTCGCTATCACCAGCGGGGTAAGTACATGTCTGGCATTGGCATTTGTTGAGGGTTCACCTGATTGACAAGAGTTAAATCACAATCAAAAGTCTGTCTGACTTGACCTTAAATAATTTCAGTGACCCAGCCTCCAGCGCGCTCTCGGAGAGCGAATTCCAAAGATTGATGATCTTCTGAGAGAAATCTCTCTTCTTGTCTGTCTTAAATGAGTGTCTGTCATTTTTGAACTGTGCCACTAAATCTAGATTCCAACTCTTATAATGAGAGGAAACATTCTCCCAGCATCTAAACTGTCTGTATCATATAGATCCAACAAAATCATTGCTCGTTCTTTTAAACTCCAATGATTGCAGGCCCAGCCTTCCCTCAAAAGACAGCCTCTTCATTCCGGGAATCGGCCAAGTGAATCTTTTTTGAAACCACTCCAAAGCAATTTTAGGTAAAATGATCAAAACTCTGCTCAGTATTGCAGGTGGCATTTCCTCAGCGCCTTGCATAACTGTACTAGGACTTCCTTACTTTTATACTCCATCCCCACTGAAATAAAGGCCAACATTCTAATTGCCTTCTTCCTTGCTGAATCTTCGTGCTACTATTTTGTGGTTTATATGCAGGGATACCCAATCCCTGCTGGACTGTAACATTCAGTTTGCCAACTCAAAATGACCCAATTATCCTGACTCTGTTCCCTGTCAGATAGCCTATCCTGTGTCCATGCTTAATATATCACCCTCAATGCCATGAGATCTTGGCTTTGGTCGTAACTTATGGAACACATTATCGAATACTTTTTAGAAAATTAAATGTGTAGCGTCTACCGTTCCCCTTTATCTATCCTGCTTATTACATCTTTAAAGACATCTCAAATAAACACATTTATCAAGCATGATTAGGTGATTTGTTTGCTATTTACTTTTAATCCAGCTCCCTGTCACTGTCACTCAGCATCCCCTGTGCCCTGCAGTGTCCTGTGTTACTGTTTCTCTACTGGTGTTAAATCAGCTGTCTCACTGTAACAAACCACCTCCTCGTTCCTGTTTCCATTGTAATTGACTGTAAACAATAGCCTGAATAGTTCTACTAAGATTATATGGAGTAACGATTCTGACCACGTTCCACAGATGTGAATGAATTTGGAAAACTGATGAAACTTGGTGTCTTTAAAGCATCGAGGTTTTACAATGAGACTGTGGCTTTTTAACAGCTCAGCATCATGTCAGGAGCCTGCTGAAGTAACATGAGCATAGAGCATTTGAATAGCTAATTGATGCAGGAAAACCAGTCACAGATACACCAGAACTTGATGCTGTTCTAATCACAGTCGAAATCTTATAGATCACTGTGGCAGAACGCGCTCAATGCTTGGGGAGCCATGAATGATGAAATGTTTCGTATGAAACGGTAAATTTCTGCTGCTGGATTTGTTCATTCTGCCATTGCTCTTTGTTTGTAGAGGTGACTGTGAGCCCAGGACAACGGTGCACGGCAGTTGTGCTGTTTGTAGATCTTCTCTCATCCGTCGTTCACGTGTCTCTCCGTCAGGAGCTGCTAAATGCCAATGCGAGAAAGGTATGGTGGCTCAGGAATCTCGGAAACCTTTCCCAGTCTGGGTGGAGCTGTGACAAAGGAAAACACAATCAGCAGCCGCAGCTACTCACAAGAACATAAGAACTAGGAGCAGGAGTAGGCCGTCTGGCCCTTCGAGCCTGCTCCGCCATTCAATAAGATCATGGCTGATCCTTTCGTGGACTCAGATCCACTTACCCGCGTTCTCACCGTATCCCTTAATTCCTTTATTGTTCAAAAAAAATCTACCTTTTTTTGAAAGCGTTTACTGAAGTAGCGTCAACTACTTCACTGGGCAAGGAATTCCATAGATTAACAACCCTCTGGGTGAAGAAATTCCTTCTCAGTTCAGTCCTAAATCTGCTCCCTCTAATCTTGAGGCTATGCCCTCTTGTCCTAGCTTCACCTGCTAGTGGAAACATCCTCTCTACTTCTATCCTATCTATTCCCTTCATAATTTTATATGTTTCTATAAGATCCCCCTCAATCTTCTGAATTCCAATGAATATAATCCCAGTCTACTCAGTCTCTCCTCATAAGCCAACCCCCTCAACTCCGGAATCAACCTAGTGAACCTCCTTTGCACCCCCTCCAGTGCCAGTACATCCTTTCTCAAGTAAGGAGACCAAAACTGCACACAGTACTCCAGGTGTGGCCTCACCAGCACCTTGTACAGCTGCAACATAACCTCTCTGCTTTTTATTTCAATCCCTTTAGCAATGAAGGATAAAATTCCATTTGCCTTCCTAATTACTTGTACCTGCAGACCTACCTTCTGTGATTCATGCACAAGGACACCCAGGTCCCTCTGCATAGCAGCATGCTGCAACTTTTTACCATTCAAGTAATAATCCTTTTTACTATTACTCCTACCAAAATGACATTGAGCAAGAGTCCTAATTTTAGAATGAAAATGGCTGTGACAATAGGAACAAGTGGGATCCCAGTGCTATTTCTGAGATAATTGAAGCTGAGTGCATCAGTGAGTTCCTTCACTTCAGGCCTGGGATTCGGTGGAATGAAGAAAGGAGTTTCCCACCACTTATCAAAGATTTCTGTTGACCCTTAATGATCCAGAACTAATCCACTTAGAATTTGCTATAGACCTAAATGTCTGACTGAAATTGATAAGCAGTGGGCTCAGCAAGTGTAAAGGAGGCTTTACTCTAACTAACCTGGGCGGGTTTGATAGGGAAGCAATTAAAGAAGCTTTACTCTGTATCTGACTCCATGCTGACCCTGTCTGAGAATGTTTGATGTGGACAGTGTTAAGGTAACTTTACTTTCAGTTTAAAAGAGTAGAGGGATATTTATTTTCAGTTTAAGAGTAGACAGAGCTTTACTCTGTAGCTGACCCTGCGCTGTCCCCTATCCTGGGAGTGTTTGATGTGGACAGTGTAGAGAGAGCCTTAATTTCAGTTTAAAAGAGTAGAGGAGCTCTTGCCTTCAGTTTAAACGAATAAATGGAGCTTTAGTTTCAATCCACGTGCTGTACCTGTCCTGGGAGTGTTTGATGAGGGCAGTGTAGAGGAAGTTTTACTCTGTATCTGACCCCATGCTGTACCTGTGTTGGAGTATTTGATCGGGACGTGTCAAGGGAGCTTTGCTTTCAGCTTTAAGGGTAGCTTTACTCTGTATCTAAACCCATGCTCTCTTTGTCCTGGGAGTGTTTGGTGGGGACAGTGTCAATGGAAATTTGCTCTTTATCTAAAACCTGTCCAGAATCTGGCCTGCAAGTGTTTGTTGGGAAACCTCGTGCAAGGGATAGAGGCAGTCTTGAGTTTGTATTGTGTAGAGATAAAAAGCCAACAAGATGGAATGATTGAGTTAGTAAAGAGTGATGAGCTGATGAAATGGACCATTCTGTGTTGCAGTTGAAAAGAATTTCCCAGCACCTTGCTGTGGTGCAGCTTGTGACACAGGATGTTGCCGTTGTTTCGCTGGCCGGCACTTCGAAGCTGCTTCTCGTTCCAGTCACATTCCATCTAAATGACACCTTCCACTTTGACTCGGAGAAACTCTCTGTGGGGCAGACCATCTCTCTGTCGCTGCAGACAGCTGGAATAGAGCATCATGGGATCCCGCTTGCTGCGCGTGGACACAGGAAACACAGCAGGGCCAAGCGAGAGCGCCAAATGTCAGAAGGAGAAGAGGATTTGATACCTACAGTTCAGCATGCACTGTGTATTGGGGATGTAATAAGTGGAACTGTGAAATCAGTGCAGGCAAACTGCTTGCTGATTAAGTTAGAAGGCGGTGTGACTGGATTTGTTCATGCTTCGGAGATCCTCGACCAGGTTCCCAACGGCTCCTTCCCATCATCGAAACAGAAAGTTGGCAATGTCGTAACAGCAAAAGTCATTGGAGGGAGAGAAGTAAAGTCTCACAAGTAGGTGATCTGCTGGTTATCTGAATGTTTGGTTTGTTTGTTTGTTTTGTTTGTTTCTGGTTTGACCTTTAATCCTATGGACTAGGTCTGAGGTTCGATGCGAACCCAGTGAGCTGTGACCTAAATGGAAAGCCTGCAGTCATTGTTTTATGGAGCTTTACAATGTCAGCAAGTCATTTAAGTTAGCAAGTGTCGCTGAGGGTTTTTATTATAATCTGGACACAGGCAAAGTGGCACGTATTACCCTTGCTTCACTCCTCTCACATTCAGACTCATTAGATAGTGGGTGCCTGGTGTCATATGGCTTAGACTCCGAGCTTCTGATAGGTTATCCTACCTAAGGAAAGTCTCTCATTTCTATATCGCCATTCGCAACTACATCACTTTACAGCAGTTAAATACTTTGAAATGTAGGCATTGCTGTATTTTGAGAACCAAGACAGCCAACTTACAAATAACAAGATCCCAAAAAGAGTAGCGGAATAACAGTGGTATGGTAACAGGTCCAGAGTCACGGCTTCAAGCCCCACATGCCAGTGGGGAGAAGTTTGAATCTGGTCAATAAATTTACACTGCACTGCTATTTTCATTCCTAAGAAGGAAATTGCCAAATTGTTGTAAAAACCCACCTGGCTTACTCATGTCCTTTAGGGAAGGACATCAGTCTAGTTATGCCTGACCCCAGATTCTCAGCAATGTGATTAATGCTTAACTGCCCTCTGAAATGATCGAAGAAGATATTAGTTCAAAAACTAATAGACAGTAAACAATGATTTTACCAACCATAAACTACATTGTTTAAACAAGTAGAAAGTAAATGACCATATCTGTGATGCTAGAGGGATAAATGTAAGACAGAACGCTAACTGTTGATATCTTCAAAGTTGTTGCCAAGGATTATTTTATAGCAACCAGTAGGGACAGTAAGATCCAAATTTAACATCTCATCTTGAGCAACAGCCAGTGTGACAATGTGGTGCTCCCTCAGCACCGACCCTCTGGCAGCACACGCTCCGTCAGCACTGTGTTGGAAGTGACACAGTTGAAATTCACTTTGTGTCAACTATTTTGCTGGTTTCCCATTGCACACTGGCAGATTTAATTAATTCGCTCCTGCAAATTGCTGTGATGTAGTTTGAACTATTGACTTCTAGAATCTGCTCCTAAAAAGACAATTGCTTATTGCAGTTTCAGGGGTACAAGATTTGTGTGCAGAGTCACAAAGTTGGGTTGAGTCCTGCTTTTAGAATCAGAGAAACCATAGAATCCCTGTAGAGTGCAAGCAGACCATTCGGCCCATTGAGTCTACACTGACCCTCCAAAGAGCATCCCGCCCAGATCCACCAACTCCTACCTTCCCTGTCCTTGTAACCTTGCATTTCCCACAGCCAATCCACCTAACCTGCACATCTTTGGACTGTGGGAGGAAACCCACGCAGACAGGAGGAGAATGTGCAAACTCCACACAGACAGTCGCCCGAGGCCAGAATCAAATCCAAATCTCTGGTGCTATGAGGTGGTAGTGCTAACCACTGAGCCATCATGCTGTTTCATCTTGCAGGTTACAAAGAAGATTGCATGGTATACGTTCAATGTGTGTGGAATCAATGTCTGGCTGTTATTATACTGAAGCTAGAATTAGCCATGCTTTGTAGCTGATGATGGCGCAGGGCATTATTATTGCACACATTTCTGGTTGCACATCTGTTTTCTAGAAGTAATTGATGTGTTGTTTTTGCCTTCCCACATATTAGGTTTTTGCCGATCACACACCCGAACTTTTCAGCGACTATGCCGGAGTTAACACTGCGACCAAGGTAAGGCAAGATACCGTGATGGCTGTTGGGGAATCAGCTACAGGCACAGAAGGTTTAGCTTGCTGTACACTGTTCTGTTTTGGTTTGACCAAACTCGGAGTGTGTGCAGAATACTTGTCTCCGTATAAAGTAATACAGAGTACTGGAGAATGTACAGAAAGGATTCACAAGGATGATACAAGAACTGGGATGTTAACTGTCTAGGGAAATTAAGAAGGGTATTCTTTTCCAGAAGGGAGTGAACATGAGGGAGAGGTTACAGAAATCTTTAAAATAATGTGAGGGTGCAATGGGGTAAACAGATGTTGCCGTACGTAGGCAAGATCAAAACCACAGGCCATCGGTATTCGGTAGTATCTAATAAATCCTATTCGGACCCTAGGTGTGGTAGGAACTGCCGATGCTGGGGTCTGAGATAACGAGGTGTGGAGCTGGATGAACACAGCAGGCCAGGCAGCACCAGAGGAGCAGGAAAGCTGACGTTTCGGGTCTGGACCCTTCTTCAGAAATGGGGGAGGGGAAGGGGACTCTGAAAGAAATAGAGAGAAGTGGGGGAGGCAATGATGGAAGGTGGATAAAGGAGCAGATAGGTGGAGAGAAGTCGGACAAGTCAAGGAGGCAGGGATGGAGCCAGTAAAGGTGAGTGTAGGTGGGGAGTTGGGATGCGGGTTGGTCAGTTGAGGGAAGATGGACAGGTCAAGGAGGTGGGGATGAGGCTAGTAGGTAGGAAGTGGGTGTGGGGGCTTGGTCTGTGAGGTGGGAGGAGCGGATAGGTGGGAGAAAAAACGGACAGCTCAAGGAGGTGGGACGACGAGCTAGGCTGGTTGTGGGATGAGGTCGGAGCTGGGGAGATTTTGAAGCTTGTAAAGTCCACATTGAGACCATTGGGCTGCAGGATTCCTAAGCGACATATGAGGTGCTGTTCCTGCAGCCTTCGGATGGCATTGTTGTGGCACTGGAGGAGGCCCAGGAGTGGGAGGGGGAGTTGAAGTGATTCGCGACTGGGAGGTACAGTCATTTGTCATGAACCGAGCATAGGTGTTCCACAAAGCGGTCTCCAAGCCTCCACTTGGGTTTCCCCGATGTAGAGGAGGCCACATCGGGAACAGCGGATACAATATACTACATTAGCAGATGTGCAGGTGAACATCTGTTTAATGTGGAAGGTTTTCTTGGGGCCTGGGATGGAGGTGAGAGGGGAGATGTAAGGGCAGGTGTAGCAGTTCCTGCGATTGCAGAGAAAAGTGCCAGGGGTGGTGGGGCTAGTGGGCAGTGTGGAGTAGACGAGGGAGTCACAGAGAGCGGTCCCTCTGGAAGGCAGATAAGGGTGAGGAGGGAAAAATGTCCTTGGTAGTGGGGTCAGATTGCAGGTGGCTGAAGTGACGGAGGATGTTGCATTGAATCCGGAGGTTGGTGGGGTGGTACGTGAGGACGAGGGGGATTCTGTCTTTGTCTTTGTTGTTATTGCGGGGAGGGGGTGTGAGGGATGAGTTGCGGGAAACGCGTGAGATACGGTCAAGGGTGTTTTCGACCATTGTGGAATGGAAATTGTGGTCCTTGAAAAACGAGGCCCCTAGGGGTGTCCTCTTTATCCAGACAGTGATGAAAATGTGGAACTCAGTACCACAGAGAGCTGTTGAGGCAGACAGCACTGAGATGAAACTGCAGCAAGTAGGGTAGAAGGAGGTTGTACGGAGGAGAAATACCCAACAAAAATCAGTTGGGCAGATTGGCCTGTTTCTATTCTGTAATTACAGTGTAGATGAATTATCCTGATGCTGAATGGCTCAGTAAGATTTTGAGCAAATAACTTAGGCTTTGCAAATGCCGAAAGTCATTGGTAGGAGGAAGTGAGAGGTGGGGATGGGATCAGACTTGGCTGCGATACCTCAGAGTTGAACAGCTTGTTAGTACTCACTGTGAAACATTGTTCTTTAAAAAGATAGAGTTTAGGCCGGATCCAGCCTTCAAGTCCACTCTTTTTCCGTTAGAGAGCAGGGAGTAAACTGGTCGGAATGAGGGACTGTTATCAAATCATAAACTCCAGGAGCAGATCTCTGTATTCACTCAGTGACAGACTGAATACAGAACAAAAGGAGACCACTTAGCCCATGTCTGTCTCTCTGTCAGATTTACTTACCTACTTTACTTCCCATGGCTTTCCACATAGCCCTACACATTCTTCCCCTTCAGGTAAACAATTCCTTTTTGAATGCCTGCATGGAATGTGTCCCCACAACACTATCAGGCAGTGTATTCCATATCCCAACCCTTGCTGCATGAAAAAATCATCTTCACATTGTTATTACTACTTCTGTCAATTTGATTCTCCTTCCTTCCACCAATGGGAACATTTTCTCCTGTACTCTGTACAAACCCCTCATGATTTTGAATATATGGATCAAGCCACTTCAATCTTGTGTTCTTCAATGAAAACAGCCCCAGCTTATTCATATATCTGAAGTTTCCCATCCCTAGAACCATTCTTTTGAATCTTTTCTGCACACCCTCTTTTCCTTCACATCGTCTTAAAGTATGTGCTGCACACTGAGAACTGGTTGCAATATTCAAACTACTCAATGCTCTATGCTTCTTTAACCATTCTCAACCTGTTTACCACCTTCAAAACTGTATGCAGATCCTGCATTCCCTTTAGAATTATTTTCTTTAAACTCTCTCTCTGTTTTTCCTACCAAAATGAATCAATATTGCATTTCATCTGCCACTTGTCCATCCACTCCACCAACTTGCTTATGTCCTTTTGAAGTTCTGTAGTAATCCTTCTCCATGCACAGTACTTCCAAGTTTTATTTATCCACAGACTTTAAAACTGTGACCTGCACATCAGGGTCTAGGTCACTAATCTATATTAAGAAGAACAGAGTTCCTAACCCTGAACCCTGGGAGCTCCACTACAAAATTTCCACTAGTCTGAAGAATATTAGTTAAACACTCCTGTTTCCTGTCATACAGCCAATTTCATATCTGTGTTGCTACTGTTCCTGTTATTCCTTGAGCTCTAAGTTTGCTGGTAAGTCAGTTGTGCAGTAGTTTATCAAATACTTTTTTGGGAATCAATGTGGACTACATCAATCCTCTGTTATCTCCATTTTTTTAAAAAAAAAGTAGGTTAATTAAACACAATTTGTACTTCACTTTAGCAAATTTGTTCTGGCTATGCTTCATTGACCCATATTTACCCAGGAAATTGTTGACTTTGTCCCAGTATGTCACTTTTAGAAGCTTCCCCATTATTGGGGTTAACATGACTGATCTGTAGTCGGTTGACATATTTTTGCACTTTTTTTTGACAAGGGTGCAACATTTGCAATTCCTCTATCCTCTCTTGCACCAGCCCTGCATCTGAGGAGCATTGGAAACTATTCTCAGTACCTCCATAATTTCTACTCACTTCCCTCAGTATCTATGGATGCATCTCATCTCTGTTTGGTACCTTATATACTTTTAGTGCAAAAACCTGTCTAGTACCACCACCTTAACAATTTTAAAACCCTTTTAATGTCTGAACTTGCCTGGGGAAATTTTTTTTTGTATATTTATTTAATTTCCCCTTGAATCAGTGAATGTTTTTCTGCCTGCTGACTCTCCTTTTCCTTCCACAGCAAGCTGTCAGGAGACTGTGAGGTCATGTACCAGAGTGAGCAATTAGCAGACCAGCTCAAATCCTACAAACCCGGCCAAGTGTTAACGTGTTATGTGTCGAAGGTACAGCAGCTGATTCCGTACTGGGTTTGGGGATCAGAGGGAGCAGGGCGTGGTCACTGAAGAGATCCTGGGCAAGGAGGGAGAACAATTCTGAACCCTCCATGTTATCATTCTGATTTGAGTCAGATTGGTGTGTGCAATTTGTACAACGGTACCTATTGTAACTTGACATTAATCATTTCGGTGATTTTTGACTTCCTGGTGTGAAAGTTGGAATGTATTGAGCTGAATGGCCCCAGGATGATGGGTGATAGGCATGTTCTATTTCTGTCACTGAGAGTACGGTTCGTGGCAGTGGCATCAATTTGGAAAATGGGACCTGGAGTAGGAGTAGGCTGTTTGGTCCCTGTGCCATTTTTTTAGTGGGTGAAGGGTGCTTTTGGGGAGAGGGGATTATTCGGGCTATTTGACTACAGCAACACAAGAACTTGTTCAGTTTGAATGTCACCACCGTGACCTGCTCTGGCTCTGAATTCCTGTTCTAGCTGTGACCAACTCTCATCTGTTCTGCCATATGACCTGCTTTTGCGTCCTGTTTCTGCCTCACCAACTCTTAACTCTTCTTTCTCCCTATTTCCAGTACAACTGTACCAAGAAATGTCTGGATGTTGAAGTGACTCCAATCATTCAAGGGAGTGTGGAGCTGCTGCTGATGTCTCAAAGAGTCAAGGTAAGTCTCCTGCCGTGATACAAATTGTAATCTCAATCAGCCTGGCTCCCTGAATCAGAGGGTCATTGGTTCAAGTCCTGTTTGACATCCAATAATCCATGCCGACATTCCCAGTGCCAAACCAAGAGTGTCTTTTCGTGGAATGGTTACAGTGTAGAAAGAGGGCAATTGGCTCATCATGTCTGCTCTCTAAATGAACATTATGAGCATTGATGCCAATCTCCTGCATTTCATCCATATCCTTAATCAATGTTTCTATTCAAGTAGTCATCCGGTATCCTCTTGAATGCCTCAGTAGACTCCTGTGCTTCCACCGCACTTCTAAGCAACACCTTCCAGACCCAAAGCACTCATGAGATGTTAAATCAAGGCCCTGTTTGCCCTTTTAGGTGGACATGAAAGATCCAATGGCATTATTCTAACCTCGTCCTGGTGTCATCGTCATAATAGCAGAGGAGGGTCATGGGACTCAATATTAACTCCATTTGTGTCTCTGCAGATGTTGCCAGACCTACTGAGCTTTTCTTACACATTTTTTTCATCCTCCTGGTGCCCATAGCTAATACTTATCCTTCAACTAGTATAACTAAAATGGATTGTCTGGTTATTATCACATTGCTGTTTGTGCAGTGCTTTGATATTGGTTGATGTAACCTCTCAGATCCTAAGAATTGTGTGACTCAGCATTATTGGAATTATTGACTAAGCCCCAGTGATCAATCACTATCAATGAATTTATAACAGAACCAGATCTGAGTTGAGGAAAGTCCCCAGCCGTGGAGAGCTTTAGGAATGATTGATTCAAAGTTGGCTGGTACTCCCAAGCGCACTGCATCCCGTGTACAACATGAATCAAATTACCTGTCTGCCCTGACATTTAAAACTCATAACTAGAGCGTCATGTGTAATGGGAACAGAAAATGAAGCCAAACTATCAAATCTTTTTATCATATTAGCACTTCTGTTAAATCTTTCACTCTCTGGTGAAAGTGAATCTTAGGATTGGGTGTTCATGGCTCTCCAATAACCCCTACCCAAAGCAGTCTCCCTTTGATAATACTTCAGCTTTCTGAACAAGCTGACAATTTCATCCCAGTTGAAACGCTGCTACTGTGACATTTACAAACACCTTTTTTTTTTTTCCCCACCCCTCCCAATCACTCCACTTACTTCAGCACTTGAAGTATCCCAAGAAACATTTTCAATCTGGTCAAGCCTTAACAGCAACAGTGATCGCCCCAGACAGAACAAACACTCGTCTCAGCCTCTCTCTCACAGGTAAGATTGAGCTCAAAGGCTACTATAGCAGAGCAGGAAGAGAGGGGGTCTATGTTCTGGTGGTTGCTTAATATATCACGCTGTCTCCCATTAGTGGAACAATGAACAACAGCTGGGAGGGATTATTGGTTGGAGGTGAGAGCCACAAGCAGGTGTGGGTTCAGAAGGGAAGCAGGGATACAGTGGAGAGGTTTGGGGGTTGAGACTTCCTGAGAGTAGAGTTTGCTGACTGAAGACTCTGAATGTGGGCCACAGTGCACATAGTCTGGAGGTTAGAGGATAGAAGTTGGAATCTCTGGTGAGATGCTCTGGCAGGACTTGGACCTCAGAGATTCTGAAGTCCAATTCAGACCCAGAGAACTGGGTAGTAGAGACTGGGGCAGGCTGTGAGAGAGGGTGTCACTTGGGAGATGGGTTGCAGGATAAGGAGTAGTTGGGGTTGGAGGCATTTTTTGGAGAGGGTAGAGGGCTGGATTTGATTGGAGTAGACTCTGGCCTAGTGATGCTGCTGAAACTGAACTCTTACAGGAATCATTCAACTTTGGTTTGAACCCTGAAAGGTTCACTGGGCCCACACTGTTTGTGGCTGTGAGTGGGTTTTCTCTCTGAAACAATTGACAAGATTTACAATTTTGTGACATGATCTGTTCCAATCCTGATATTTGTACTTTATTAAACTATCTTAAACAAATTCTCACTCATTCCCTGAACTCACTGTCTAGGTGCATGCTCTCTGGATGAAGGTTCGATAACACTGGGCACAATCGAGAAGGTCACTCCACACTTGGGGGTCACCATCAGGCTCCCTTTTGGAAAGACTGGTCAAGTGGGGCTATGTGATATAGCAGATTCGTACAAAGAGTCACCATTGGAGGAGCTCACCCTGGGCCGCATGGTCAGGTTAGATTGAGCACGTAACAGGCAGAATTCTCCCTGCTGTTACCTAGTTACCGCACTTACAGACTGTGCCTCGCTGCAGGGAGGAGAATGATAATTGCTCATCAGTTGTGTCTAGTGGGTCACACACTTAACTCTGTGTTAGAAGGTTGCGATCTCAGATTCTCAGATCGCACAGCCACTATTCAAAGAGGCACACGGGAGCTCCCCATGCGACCGAGTAATTTTTATCACTGAAAGCAGATCCTCTTAATTATTGTCTCATCTCTATCATGAGAGCTTGCTGTGCTCACCATTATCATTACAAGTAATTTATAACTGATGTAATGTAGGATAGTAATTGAACAAGAAGGTGCTGTAAAATTTGTGTTTTTCGATGGAAACTGTAATTAATTCCGTTGAGTTGCCAGTAGATGTCTGCTCCACTTTGTTTCCTGACTGATTTATAAACCTGGGTGACTGTGAAAGTCAGCAGCCTCCCTACCGAGCCTGGTTTGATCCAAATAATTACACAGATCAATCAGCTTCTGAAGAGATGAGAACAAATGTTTTTATATAACCCTGTTCCCAGACTGTCTTCTCAATCCTCGCATTCCCTGATTTATTGTTAACATTTCTGTTGCTTGCCACAGATCAAATTATTTGTTTACCCTCTTGTAGTGACCTCTCTCACTGACTCTGGTGTTTCAACAGGTGTTGTGTCATTTCAAAGAATGAGCATGAGTTGGCAGTTTCTCTCAGGAGCTCGAGGTGAGCATTTTTCAGTTAACACTCTCAATCTTGCCCTTTTTTATTTCCTCTCTTTCTCTTTCTCTTTCTCTCTCCCTCCCCCTCTCTCTCTCTCTCTGTCTCTCTGTGTGTGTGTCTCTCTCTCTCTCTCTCTAGCTTTCACTTGACCTTTCTTGATCTAGTCCCCTCTCGCTCACTGTCTTGACCTTTTTTTTTTCCTGTCTCTTGCTGTTTTTTTTGTCGCACTGTCTCTCCCAATCCGTCTTCCACACACCAGTCCCCACCATCTTCGCCCCCACCCGCAACACACCAGACCTTCAAGGAGCTAGAGCTTATCCAGCAGCACTGGGATATTGCCAGCCTAGGGTGCTTTGCAGCAGGGAGTACACGTTTGACCCCAGTATTATAAGGGATATGTACGTGGAGTGACTGGTCAAATAAATTAGTCTGTCAGCTTTGGGCACAGGGTCTTTGCCAGTGGTGGTATGGCCCTACAGAAATATCTGAGACAGAAAGAAAATCTGTGGCATTCTTTGTGAAACTGATGTTTTGCATTTAGAATTGTTATATTTTATTTTAAAATCCTTCAATTGACTAGCTTCTCCCTTTCATCATCACCTTCCCCACCCTGACAATTATTCCAGATCTCTGAAGCTCCTCGAATTCTGGCTTCTTGAATATACTCCAATTTCCATTGTTACACTATTCCAAGCGCTGTCATTCCCTCCCTAAACCTCTCCATATCTTTCCTTTAAGTGGCTCCTTAAAGCTTGCCACTCTCCTGATTACAGCCTTGCTGTTCTAATTGCTGAAATTGCACACGTTAAAACAGAAGCTGATCCATCAAATCATCGCTGGATCCTGAAGAAACTTAATCAGCTGAAATCCCTCAAATGACATTATATTTCAAACAAAAATAGAAATTGCTGAAGAAACTCAGCAGGTCCGGCAGCATTTGTGGAGAGAAAACTATTTGTATTTCGAGTCCAGTGACCCTTCTTCAGATATGATAGCTAGGAAAAGATGGTATTTATTTGCTGATGATAGGGGTTGGGGGGAAGAATAGCAGTGAATGGATTGGTGGAGTCAGAGGCCAGAGAGAGAGAGAAAGTAGGTAGACAAAGAGATTGTTGATAGTAAGCCAGGGAAGAAAAGAAGCTCGATAGGTAATTGGGCTATGGGTAGTTGAAAATGGGTTAGCTATGCTGAAAGTGGCCCATTTCATGATACAGCCTGGGGTTTTGGGGTAGGTAATAGATTCAGAAGGAGGTGTTCCTGCTCCAAATTGTTAAACTGAATAAAGTCCTCAAGTGGAAGATGAGGTGGTAAGCCTCCTGGAGTACTACAACAGGCCCGAGACAGACACAAACAAAGTTGCTGGGGAAACTCAGCAGGTCTTGCAGCATCTATAGAGAGAAAAGCAGTTAACGTTTAGAGTCCAGTGACCCTTCCTCAACATAAATTACTCAAATTTTGCCATGTGCACGTGTGTTGAAGTGGTAGGCAGCTGGAATTTTAGGTCACTTTTACAGATTGACCACTTTGCCAAACACCTCTGTTCTTTCAGACTGCATCTACCCAGTGTCTACTGGGCTACGAGGTTACAGATTGTTTTGGAATATGATTCTGCTGCTACTAATAGCCCACAGTGCCTCTTGGATTCCCAGTCTTTGGTTGGTTTGTTCCAAGTCAACTCCATTTAGCACAACGATGATACTTCATCTGGCCAATCTTCTCTTTACAGTCAAGTGATGATTGTAAAGAATAAATACCTCCAAGGTCTGGCTTGTGTATTTACCATTTAGCACAACTGATCGATGCTGTGTTTTCACGTGAGCTTTGTCTTGCACTACCAACGTAACCTTGTTCCATTCTCCCACATTCTTAACTAGCTTCCCCTTACATACAGCTTTGCTGCTTACTTCACACTCTCATAGCAGCAAATTCCCCATTATCAGCACTCCAGGTAAAGAACCCTCTCCATATTGGATTTGTCAACGAGTATCTTCTACAAATTTATGGTCCTTAGTTTTGGGGTCTTGTCCAAATGGATACAGCTTCTCTGCATCTATCCTGCCAATCCCTTTGACCTATCAGGTTACCTTTCTTAGAACAAAGAGCCTGTGGTTGTTTCAACCTTTCATTTCTACAAGAATTTTTGTGAATTTTTTGACATCTCTAGTACCTCTATCTTTTTTATAATGTAGAGATCAGGCTGTAAACAGTGTGATCTAATCAAAGTTCTACTCAAATTTAACATAACAAGTTTTTGTCTGCATTAAATTGAAAACCTGTTTGAAACATGTCATCTTGCTACAGTTTATTGAGTTTTCCAGATTGATGTATGTGTGCCATTCCTCTCTAGAGTGTACCCTGAGCGTGAGTCTTCAATAAATGACCCAGAGATTACAACGGCCAAGGATCTTCGGAAGGGGCAGCTCCTTAGAGGTTATATAAAGGCTGTTGGAGAGCCTGGAGTCTTTGTCAGGTGAGCATTGTGTGGTTGTGGTGAGAGAAGTCAATCATGAATAGTGTAACAGACTATAGCAAGCCATTGTTTGCAAGTGTAAGCATGAGCTGAGTATACGTCCCCTTGTCTGGATTTTTAACCCTGGGCTGTTGTGACATTGAATGTATGTTTCTTAGAGCAAAACTGTTTCAAATCAATGTCAGTTACTTGCAAGCAGACACATAACTTACGCAGGCTGCTTCTTTCCAAGTCTCTGTGGGCAATGGAGCACTGATACTGTAATATTTTAAAGGTGATGTCAGTCTTGTTATTTTACCACTTGTCCCAGTGGTGACCACATAAGGCGACCACAGGCAGCAAGGTGTGATGCACTGAGGCATTGACCAAAGAAAGGAAAGAATGTACACGTGGGTGGTGGAGGCTATCTCCTTAGTCATTCACAGAAATCAAACGATTACGAAGAACAATACAGAATAGGAACAGGCCCATCAGCCCTCCAAGCATGCACCAACACATTTTGCCCTTCCATATTAAAACCCCTCACTTACAGAATCTGTATTGCTCTCCTGCCTTCCTATTGGGCAATTGACCTTATACAGATCTTTAAAGTCAGTAAATATCATTGGGTAGTGCTGGAGAAAATATTTCCATTTAAGGAGAATGGATCTGCCCAATTTCTCTGTTGTACAGGAAACCACTTCTCTGATATAATTTCTATCATTTCTGAGTAGTTATACCAATAAATTTATACATCACCTACAGTGCCTTTGTCATATTGAGATCAGAACTGCTCACAGTACACCAAGAGCACTTTTCATTCTGATGAAAGGTCATTGACCTAAAACATGAATTCTGTGTTTCTCTCTCTGCCAGGCCTGCTGAATATTTCCAGCAATTTTTTTTTAATTTTAGTTTTTCAGCATTCGCAGTGTGTGTTTCGCAACCAAGTTTCAAACATAGTCCGTGGAAATGAACCCACTGCTTTGTTTCCTTTTTCCCTACAGCTTTGTTACCCTCCATCACAGCCTTCAATGGTTTGTGAATCTGTACTGCTGATCTCTCTGTTCCTCAGCTCTGTTTAGATACGTTTTCCAAAATATGGTTTATTTATTCTTCTTGCCAAAATGCCCACCTGCTTTGAAATAAAAAGCCTCTGAAATGGCCTTACAAGCCACTCATTTTAGGGGCAGTTAGGGATGGGCTGGCCTGGTCAGTGACACCGACGTCCATGAGTGAATATATTTTTCATAAATGATTAAATGATTTAATGGTAGATTCCACAAGGAAGCATGCAGCAGTTAGTTTTAGCAACTCATACCTTGAGGTTTCCCCTTCAGCATCCTGTGGTGCAGTGTGAAGGAGGAGGTTCTTTGGGTTTTTTTTAAACTGTACGGCTATGCAGTGAAGGCTGGCTGTACGGAGTTAGTGCAGATATTTCAACAAGTAATCTTTGTGTTTCAGCCTCTGTGCTTCGCTGTCAGGCCGTGTCCTCTTCAATTATGTCACAGATTACTATGTCAAGGACCATGGAATCTTCCTGGCAAGCATCCCAAAAGGAAAGCTGGTGACAGTCAAAGTACTGAGGTATGAATTTACTAGGAAGGAGGCACCGAGCAGGAGAATTGGTGAAGATCCTAAGCTAGTGCTCACTGGTCGAGTTAGCTTAGCTCGACATGGGTAAAGCCAACTATCAGGCTTCTCTGATACACTGAGCTCACCCCAAAACACCACAACATACTCCAAAGCAGCACCAAGTAGTCAAAGGCCAAGAACCATTTCCTGGCAAGAGTCTGCACCTTTGTTGGAGGGAAGGAAACCAAAATGGGCTGTAGATAGATATAGCACGACCCATCAAGCCTGTTCTGGCTCTTTGAATGACTTACCTAATTAATCCCACTCCCTACCTCTTCCCTGCAGTCTCCAATTCCCTTTTTCAGTGTTATTATTGAATCTGCTTCCACCACCCTTTCTCACAGTCCATTCCAGATCTTCATTTTTTCATTGCATGTAAACAAAAAATCCATTTTCCAATTATCTTAAATCTGTATTGTTTATTACTGCCTTCCTGCCAGTGGAAACAGGGTAGGGAGACAGAAGCTGTCAAACTCCTTCAGAATTTTGAACACCTCTCCATCACCTTTCCGCAGTGAGGAGAATAAGCTCACCTTCTTTTGTTTCTCCGTTTAACTAAAGTCTTTCATCCCTTTGCCATCCAAGTAAATCTTCCATGCCCTCCAAGAAAAAGATTTGCTCTATTTTGAGGATTTCCTGTGGCCAGCTGTGTATAATTTAAACATTCCTTTTGCAGCATAAATAATGGACAAGGTGAAGTGGAGCTGTCACTCCTCCCTCAGGACACAGGAGCTCCAGATGTGCTGTCAAAGTCCCTTGGCTTACCATCCAAGCAATCCAAAATGCTGAATGATGCAAAAGGATCGGTCTTAAAAACCTCCAAACGCAAGAGAAGAGGTTCGGAGAGTGAGCAGGTAGGATGCTCCATGCCAAAATGTTTTGGTTTTTTTTCTAATTGAAGTGTTGACTCTCCATTACCCTTCACCCATTAACTCGGAAGGTGACTCCTTCTAACAGCCAGGAGAGCCAGCCATGCTGAGTGAGCTGGCAATAGGGGTTTGACCAGTTAGTCTGATCACTAACGTGCTGAAGTGAGCGGTGGGAATTGCCTTCGGGCCCTCTATTTAACACTATCCTGTGATTTGTGTTGGACGTGTATGAGTACGAATTGCAAGAGATCAGAGTTGACTTTTTTGCTGCTTGCATGCCAGACAGAACACTCGTGTATCAGGCTTTGACGAGTGAAATCTGAATATGCTAACTCAGTAATTTTCCCAATCCTTTTTCACAAAAAGGATAATTAATCAATGACTAACTTCATTCATCAAGTGATGTAGTTGACACAATTGAGTAAATCCTTTCTGCTCCATGTTTCTATTCTATAGACATGTCACTTACTTTAGATACAAAACTGTTCAATATTTCATCAATCTATAATCCATCTAGCATTATAGTGAGATATTTGGAGTCTTCAGTGAACAGGTTACCAAATGAAAGAGTGATTAGTACTAGGAGTCCCTGATAACAGTCCATCGAAGGACAGAGGATTAGTTTTCGGAACAAAGCCTCCCCATACTAGAACAAAAAAAGCTGGGGGAGGTGTGGAGAGGATGTGGTTGTGACTGGGTGGGCGATGCCGGAGGGTGCGGAGAGTGGGTGGACAGCATGTTGACGAGCATTAACCAGAAGGAGTTTTGCTGTTCTCTCCCTGTAGCTGCTCTCTGGCACTTTGTAGGTGATCTCACTGTCTGGCAAATTATTTTTATCTGTATTTGACTTGTTTCCCATTAGGTTTCCTCCAAAAAATTGAAAATAAAGAAGAAACAGAAGCATTCGGAGGAGGCGGACAGTGGAGTGGAGGTATACTGTCATGAGGAGGACAGCGACGCTGAATTTGAAGGGAGTAACACTGGATTATCACCTGTATCCCAGGTAGATATTTAACTTTATGGGAGCTTTGTTTTGGATCTGGAACATGCCAAACCATTAGTTCTTGGTCATGTGACAGCCCTTTCAGCTATGTGCTGGGATTGGTTGCTTGGGGTGGGGGGTGGTGTTTAAGTTTCACTGTGCTCCATTGGTCCGATGTCCACTGCCCTTCAGTGATAACAACAGAGAACTTGCATTGATGTGGCACCTTTCTCAGCCTCAGAAATGCTTTATAGTCCTGTTACATATTTCTAAAGTGTACTCATTAGAGTAACAGGCTGCAGCCAATTTGCACCCAGCAAGATCTCAAATTGCAATGTGATAATAACCAGATAATCTTTTTGTGTTGTTGATTGTTGGATAAATGTAGGCCTGGGCACCAGAGCTCCAATTAGTGTCCCAGCTGAAAAATGGAGCCCCTGAAAGTGTAGTACTCGCCGTGACCTGCCCTTCCAACAGGGCAGGAATGAGCCTGGACCATCAGATGGGAAAGGGTGTATGTTTGATGCTCATTACAACCAGTGGCCTCCTATGCCTTATGTATTAGATGCTAAACCTGATTTACAAGAAAGAATTAGGAGCCGGACAAAGGCATCCAGCCCCTGAAGCCTGCTCTGCAATTTATTAAGATCATGGCTGTTCTGATTCTGGCCTTAACTCTCTTTCCCTCCCTATCCCTTCATAACCTTGACTCCCTTGTAAATGAAAAATCTTTCTAACTCAGCCTTGAATATATTCAATGATCCAACCTCCACTGCTTAGTGAAGGAAGAGCATTTCAAAGAATAACTGGCCCTAAACAGAAAAAATTCCTTCTCATCTCCATATTAAATGGGATCCTCCTTATTCTGAAACTGAGTCCCCTTGTTCTAGATTCCCCCATAAGGGAAAATATCCTCTCAGCATCTATGCCATCAAAACCCCTCGGAATCATACGCTTCAATAAGATCAACCCTCATTTTTCTAAACTCCGGTGAGTATGTTTCCTGATAAGACTACTGTATTCCTTGTATTGTCATGAAGAAGCTTTTCGACTGTAAATACCTGGTACCTAGTAGCTAAAAGCTACTGTTCTGTCTCAGCAGCAGCCAAAACCCAGAAAAACTCAGGTTCCCAGGCTAGAAGTGTCACGCAGCTTTGCTTGGGATGTGAGTTTAAACACCATCTCTCCTGTGACTGGGAAACATGAAGACATTAGCTCAGACAGTGAGGATGACGAGCCTGAGGACTCCAAGGTAGGAGAGATTTACGCTGTGTTCTGTACTAATTGGTTTCTTAGTCCTAGCACTAACTGCCCAAAAAACAAACAATTTGGGAAAAGGATCAGAAACTAGTTTTCACTGAGCTCTCAGTGACTTTGGGAGCAGTATTCTGTTTGGGAGGTACTGCGTATCAAGATGGGGAAATCCCTTTGGCGAATAATTGATGACTGAGAAGTTATATCTGTCATGCCCCGTGAGATAGGCAAGGATTACATTCCTTTAGCCCCAGCCCACCACCATGGCCAGATCCCCTACCCTCTGTAACCCAGCCAGAGAGTTGTAGGGAGAAGGCAAACGAGAAATATGATTTTCAGCTTGACTAAATGTGTTTGACCATTTCTTCAGGCCAAGCTGACGAGGAGAGAGAAGGAAGTGGGGAAACGGCAGATGGAAAAAGAGCTGATGAAGGCTGAGCAGCAGCTGATGGACCCCAATCGACACCCACAGTCAGCTGATGACTTTGACCGTCTGGTCCTGAGCTCCCCCAACAGCTCCATTCTCTGGACACAGTACATGGCATTCCACCTGCACACCACTGAGATTGAGAAGGCACGAACTGTGGCAGAGAGAGCCCTGAAAACCATCTCGTTCAGGTAGGACCACAACTGAACCAGACAGAGAGAGAGAGCTACTGCATCCAGACAGAAGAGCCAATCCCACCTACCCTGGTTCGTTAACTCTGCTGGTGTATTCAACAGCCTTGCAAGTCTGCTTTCATTCAAAGAAGTGTCCCATTCTCTTTCCTAAGTCTTTCTTCCTTTACTTTTGTATCAATGGCCCTTATTCTAGACCCCATACATCTCCATTAATCTTCTATGTGCTACCTTACTCGAAGTCTGTGTACATCACATCTGCATTTCCCAGCCCCTCAATCTAACACCTCACTGAGCTCTTTACTACGAATGCTTACTCACCTAAACTTGAAGACCAAGAATGTTGTTCCCTTGGGGTTATTATTTAAACTTTCAGTGGCATTCTGTACCTTCAGGGGAGCTGTCCTATTGATTATCCGACCTTTCCTCACTTCTACTACTGATCATGAGCGTGATATCTCAGTCGTGGTATCACACGCCAATAACTGACTGAGTGCCAGGTGTTGAAATACTGCAGCACGCCAGCAGGAGACACTTGAGAGCAATGACTTCTGTTTATTGCAAGCAAGGTGGGAAATTGGGTGTGTTCCTCTCTCTCAGACACTGCACCTTGAGCTTCCAACCTGCTCTGTCATTGAGCTGTCATGTGGAAGAGAGGGCACTTAACTTAGCTCTGAGGACAAATGCAACAGTCCTGCTCCATAGCAGAACCCACACAACAGCAGTTTGACACATAACCAGTGAACCTGCTCTTGAGTTGCAAAGAAAGTGCATAGCAAGAAAGTGCAGAATCCATGTCCTTCAAATATTGTCTTCGGTATCAATTTTTATAACTGCCTTATTGATTTCTCTCTCTCTCTCGCTCTCTCTCTCTCTCACTCTCTCCCCCTTACCATATACTTTTGAAGAGAGGAGCAGGAGAAATTGAATGTCTGGGTTGCACTGCTAAATCTGGAGAATCTCTATGGCACAGAAGAGTCGCTGATGAAAGTGTTTGAACGTGCTGTTCAGTACAGTGAGCCACTGAAGGTCTTCCAGCAGCTGGCCAGTATCTACACCAAATCTGAGAAATACAAGGTAAACACAAATGTTGTCAACATGGCTTACTATTCCATCTGAGTTTGTGCAACAGTGACTGACCTGTCATAAATAACTTATACAGCAGAGCAGAGGTGATCTACAGATCAGGTTGGGCTGTTTGTAACACCAGCAACTTGGACTGAGTTGAACACTGAGGCTGCTGACTCTACAAGCTGCTGTTATGTAAACCATGTGCTTCTTGGTGAAGCTGATTCTACTGTGTCCCCATCAAACACTCCCAGACTGGGTACAGCAGGGTATTAGATACAGAGTAAAGGTCTCTGTAGATGACAATAAAATAAAGGAATGTGGATGCTGCCAATCTGAAATAAAAACAGAAATTGCCGGTGAAACTCGGCAGATCTGGCAGCATTTGTGGAGACAAAGCAGAGTTAACGTTTCAAGACTGGTGTCTGTTCATCAGGGTCCGAACTGATGTGTTCTGATGAACAGTCACCAGACTCGAAATGTTAACTCTGCTTTCTGTGCATAAATGCTGCCAGACCTGTTGAGTTTTGCCAGCAGTTTCTGTTTGTGTCCCGCTACACTGCCCTCATCAAACACTTCCAGTGCAGGTACAGCATAGTATTAGATACAGATAAAGCTATGTCTGTTCCAGGACAATATCTCAGTTTTGTGCTGACCTCCATTTTGAGGTGTATCCCCCAATTCCGAAGTGACATTTCCTATTTTTGACATTGATCGTCCACTTCTAATTGTCACTTGGCCCCTGATTGGGTGCTGTGGATGCCTGGGCTCTCCACCTATCCCAGCTAGATTTCCAAAGCTCTGTTGTACTTGGCTGGTAGCCAGGGGGCCCTCTGTGATCTGAAGTGTATTTATACCATTGTCACAAAGGTCAATCAGCCTTTGATGTGGCACTTCTCAATTCCTGGATAATGACTGAAGCTGCCGCAGTGTTATCTCAGTCTGACTGTTACAGAGTTCGAAGGGTTGATTGTGAATGTTAGAAAGAGAAAATGTTGAAACTGCTTAGCAGCTTCTGTGAGGAAGGGGAAACAGTTAATTTTTCCTGTGGATGACTTTTCATAAGGCCTGATTTTGGATGCTCTTGGCTGTGTTAGACTCTGGTAATGCAAAATATTTGAGATTTGGGCCAGTATGTGATGCTTGTTTTGTGCTTTGTGCATGTTTTTCAGCAAGCAGACAACCTGTACAACACCATGCTGAAACGGTTTCGCCAAGAGAGCACTGTCTGGCTCAGTTACGCCACCTTCCTCCTCAAGCAGGGAAAGACTGACTCTACCAATGCTTTACTGCAGAGAGCACTCAAGTGTCTGCCCCAGAAAGAACGTGAGTCAGCAACGGGATGTTGGTCACGTGTGTGTAGAGTGTTGGAGGGGAGCTGACCATGTAGCTGATGTCTTCTCCCCATCAGCTGAATGCAGTTCTCACCTTCACATTTTCCCCCTTGTCTGGCCCTCTCTTGCTCGTTTCATAAAATACTGCTTCTGTGTGCCCATGTTTTATGTCTGTTGGTATTGGAGGGTTAAAGAGAGCCTGTATGCTTGAAAGATAGTAGGAACTGCAGATGCTGGAGGGTCTAGGCCCGAAACGTCAGCCTTCCTGCTCCTCTGATGCTGCTTGGCCTGCTGTGTTCATCCAGCTCTACACCTTGTTATCTCTGTATGCTTGAGCCTGAATTGGCAATCAAGTGTCTCCTCCATTTTGTCAAACCCATTACCTGAAGTAAAAAGATCACGACTGCCTTAAAGGGGACAATTGGGATGCAGAATCTTTAAGGATTTTCAAGACCAAGGTGGATAGATCCTTGATTGCCAACAGGATGAAAGATTGTCAGGGATATGCAGGAATGTAGAGTTGATCTTATTGAATGATGGGCCAGGTTCAAAGGGCTGCATGGCCTAATCTTCTTCCTGTTCTGTGTGTTTGTAACTGTAGAATCATAGAATCCCTACAGTATGGAAGCAGGCCTATCGAGTCCACATTGACTTTCCAAAGAACATCTCACACAGATCCACCCTCCTACCCTATCCCTGTAAACCTGTATTTCCCATGGCCAATCTACCTAACTTGCACATCCTTGGACTGTGGGAGGAAACTAAAGCACCCAAAGGAAATACACACACACACACACACACACACACACACACACACACACACACACACACACACACACACACACACACACACACACACACACACACACACACACACACACACACA